ACTTACTTCCTTGGTCATAGTAGCCTGTAGGTTCCCAGATAAGGCCTTTTGAGGTTGGGAGCTGGGACAAAGCAATGGGTGGTGGGAAAGGAAGTTTGGAGGGGAAGACCTTGTGTGAGCCACTGGAGATGGGGACAGTAGGGAAGAGAGGCTGCAAGAGGTATTCTGCTGCAGAGCTTGGGATGAGAATGGGAGATTGTATTTGGAGGAGCAGAGGGAAAGGTGAAGATCTGTAGTTAGCCTGCCTGGGACCCTGGCCAGAGTGCTTATTTCTATTTGTTATGGTGTCTGTTAAAAAATTTTGTCCATTTAAAATGTGCATTGTCTTGTTTGTTTTGTAAATTATCCTTACATATAATGAATATCTAACACTCAAGTATAAATATATATTTGTGCATATACACACACATACACATCTTGAATATTTTTCAAAATGGTTCACCTGACCATTTTCTCAGTGGCATCTAAATCATGGGGTATCATTTCCTATAATACATTTAAAATTTCCTCCACTATTTTGGCTTCTCAAATTCTAGATCTATTTATTTACCTGTTTTTTTTTTCCCCCCAAATGTGTCACTGAGGGCTTGGTCCTTTTCTCTCAGCCCATACCACCCTTTGCCTCTTTCTGCATTTGGTGGATGTTTCTTCAAGTTCATGGTCTTATTTTTCTCTCAGATATGCTCTTTAGACAATAGTGAACTCTTTCCTCAAAATTTTATGCCTTCAGCTTAAATTATTCTGCTTGTTTCTCTCCTCTCCATTTCTGTCCTGGTGACATTCACACCTCCTTTTAAGTCCTTGAGTACATCTGACATCCCTGTCTATAACTGCATCATCAACTGTCATTTCCAGTCTGTCTCTGTCTTGACTGACTTCTCCAGGTCTCAGGTTACATTTTCTTGTTTAGCCATTTCTTGTAGTTTGATGAGTGCTAGACACCTTGACAGTGGCAATTTATGAAGATGAGGTTATATTGTATTCTAAGTTCCTCCATGTTGTGTGGAAGAATGGCTTCAGGCTCTGCCTTGTCCTAGTTTACTTCATTGTCAAGCAGTGTTTGATCCCATTTTTAATGCATAAGCCAGGATGACACTTCAGTATCACATTTGAACATGTAGAAACCATTACCTTTCCAGAACCAACTACAAGGCAGACTGGTAAACTATTCATGCAAAGTAAAAAGTACCATCTATGAGCTGACTGGCATACGCTGGGAACACGCAGATGAAACAAATAAAGGCAGAACAGAAAAAGCAGGTCTCTGACCTTAAGAATGCATCAGACCAATAAAGAATTCATCACCCTTATCTGGACAACATAAAAGCTGAGGCATCTAATAGCACCATGATGAAGCAGAATCCTTCTACTCATCATCTGACCATTTGGTGAACACACAACAGGAAGGACAGGCAAAAGTCTCCTAACTGTCTGCAGGGTTTCAGCTTAGCATATTCACTTATATGGGAATTCCAATCAAGCTTCCTTGTCATCAGTTTCCAACTTAAATTGATGTTCTTCCAGATCTGCACCTTGGAGACATGCCTTGGACTAACCTCTGCCTTGAACCTGCTAAGCTCTGTGTACCTCTAGCAGCTCTTCAAATATATGGATTAATGTGCTAGTTAGTTTTAACTTTCAACTTGACACAACCTAGAATCGCTTGGGAAGACATTCTTAAAGAGGAATTATCTAGATCAGGTTGCCTGTGGGCACGTCTGTGGGGAACTGTCTTGACTTAGTCATCATCGGGGCACCATTCCCCAGCAGGAGCTCCTGAACTGTAAGAGAAGCGAAAATTACTGAAAAACAAGTAAGCAAGATTTCATACATTTGTTTCACTCTGCTCTTGACTATAGATATGATGCAACCAGCTGCTTCAAGATGCTGCCACTGTGACTTCTCTCCTACAATGAATTGTAACCTGGAATTGTAAACTGAAATGAAACTTTTTCTCCTCTAAGGTGCTTTTTATCAGGGTGGGTTGGTTTAGGATAAATATTGTTCCAGGGAAGGCTTCAGCAAGTCATCTGAATTACAAAAATATAAGGGATTCTGTGAAACTTTCTGTAAGATCACATTACCTGATCAGTTACAGGCAGTAAATTTCAGTCAGAAACAACACATGTAAACAGAAAGTTTGGATATAGATCTTAGTTCCTGTACTCAGCTTCAAATCTTGAGCCTCTCACTTTTCCTCTATTTTGCTATAATGACAACAGAGCATGGATGTGGGTATCCTATTCAATGGTTCTGCTGAATGACCACAGTATCTCCTCAACCTCACATCACAATCAGGATCTGAATACTTATAAAAGCCTTAAACCACTGAATTCCAAAGCCAAGCAAACTATAAGGTTTTCTTTTCTGAAAAGTGACTATGAAATCTCAAGCCAAGAAAGTCCTTTTTTTTTCAGAAGCAACTAAAATATTTGAATATTTCTAAATTTTAAAATAATGTCATACTATTAATATATTAGGAAGAGTTTATAAAAGTTGAGAAGAAAAAACTTGCTTTGTAAACCTCATAGCTTCAGTGAACTTAAGATCTGGAAATCATTTTACATGTTGACAATTTGTTAATAACTCAGGCTAGGGGTCAAAGAGTGTCATTCACATCTTATTCTGAATAAATTTCCACTGAAGTAAGAAAGTTGATCACTACTTCTAAACTAGAACCAAGGTCAGGAACAAAAGCCCAGAGATCAGCCGGGCGGTGGTGGCGCACGCCTTTAATCCCAGCACTCGGGAGGCAGAGCCAGGTGGATCTCTGTGAGTTCGAGGCCAGCCTGGTCTCCAAAGCGAGTTCCAGGAAAGGCGCAAAGCTACACAGAGAAACCCTGTCTCGAAAAACCAAAAAAAAAAAAAAAAAAAGCCCAGAGATCAAAGGACCCCTCCCTCTTTTTCTATTAGAATATTAGATCATAAAATTAATGCCATCAACAACCAACTCTCAACAGACATTAAAGCTCTCAAACAAATAAAAACAAACCTCAACAGAAATATAAAAATGGTACATATGGGAAAAGTACATCTAGAAATGGCTTTCTAAATTTTCATTCTGTATTAATCCATGTCTCAAAATTTTAATTTACAAGGTTAATTTGCTAAATTGATAAAAATCCCATGAGAAGTCAAAGAAATAAGAACACAACTAGGTTTATATAGTATTTAGAACAGCTGATAAAAACTTAGTAAAAAAAAAAAGAGTTAAGTCTCTCAAGAGGCTCTGAAATGCTGCCTTTCTTGAGAAGCAAAACTTTAAACACTGACATTAACATCTTCCACCTTTGTTTTCAGATCAGTGTGATCTTTCTGGGGCTTGACTTTTAACTACTTACTTTGTCTTAAGGAAAACAAGTTTGTCGAATTAGTAAGTCAAAATCTATGTTCCTGGTCAGACAATTAACCTCCTTAAACAAATTTTACAATCAAATTATCCATGTGAACTCCACTGCTCCCTCCCCAGTACCTGTCTGTGGAGAGGGACAAAGAGCTCAGAGCAAAGGGCAGAAAAATCTTTGCCTTATACCTGCTTCTCAGAGAATTTCAGGGAGATATTGGCTTAAGACAGGATCATAGATACATGGCTTGTCTGTCATTTTAAAAAAAAGGAAAAAAAATAATTCAATATATTTAGACCTTAAATGGTAAAGAATCCTGTCATTTTACAACACCATTTGCAAATGAGTGAATAGACAAGGACCTGTGACTCTTAGTAGTTAGAATGTACAAATTTTACCTTTGACTACTATCAACTTTGTATTTTGGAACACTAAATATTTATTTTTTTAATAGGGAGAAAACTCCTGAGAATAAAAATAAAAAAGAATAAATGTAACAGAGTTTAAAAATTAAAAAAAAAAACTTTTATAAAGTTAAAAAAGTAGAAGAGTAGTATTGACTCATTTCACAGAAACTGAACATAGTGAGCCAATAGCCAATTCTCCTTAATGAAGATGCCATAAACTGGATGGAAGTTATTACTTATTCTTTTTAACCTCCAACATAGCAATTTCCAAATAACCAGATGCTGCTATGGTATTTCAATAACAGGCCACAGAGTAGAATAAAACAGCACCTTAAACCCAGCCCTATTATTCTCTAAACTTTGTGTGCAGGTTTACTAACTCATTATCAACCCAAACATTTCCTCATATCTCAAGGAAGTACCTTGGCCAAGCAGGAATACAGAACCTGTTCACTTGGTAAACACAGAACAGGGCAAGGCTTCTGCCCCAGGGCAGGGCATTCCTGTGGGTGAGGTAGTTTCTCAAGTCTTTGTTCCCTGCTCTGCCTTAACAGGAGATGGGTAACATTTATTGAAATGAAGTAAAAATGGCACTTTTTGACAGTAGAGAAAACTGCTTCCTATTGTTACCAGTCCATTCAGAGCTCTAAAAAGGAACATACAAGCACTATATCTAGAGGCGCAGCACTCAGGGCACTCTCCACCCCCACCCCTCTAAGTATGGTGTTGCAGAACCAGTGGCCCTATGTGAAAGACCTTACACCTCTTCTTCTGGAAGCCCCAAACCCATGTGAGGCCCTCCTCTAGGGGAATATCCCTTCCTAGAGACCCCATTCCCACAAAAGCCCTACACAATTCTCGGCTCTGGATCAAAGGTGCAGCTCTCCCCATCTGTGTCAAATACACAGGATGCCATTTCTCAAAGCGATTTAAAACTAGAAGATGGTAAAGTATCAGATATTAGAAAAATAACAAAATGCAAATCAGTCTTCAAAACTGGAAATGCAGGAGGAGTTTTTCTGTAATGAACTGAAACGACTGTGGTTTACAGTCAACCACAACCTTCATGACCAAGAGTGTAGAAACTAATCTTGAGTTCTGGGTCTGCAAATGGATCCATGGAGTATGAACTTGGTGGATGCGCACAGACAAACCCAGGGACTTGACTGATTCTCTTTCACAATGCCCTTTTCAAGAGGAAGAGTGGACACAGTACCGACTTGCCCCAGCCGCTCAGACCCGTACTCACTGATGCCCGCCGCTCCGCTCGGTGCCGGAGCTCCTCACACCAGCCCAGGAAGAGGAAGGCGTTCTCCTTGGCCAGCCTCTCCAACAGGACCCGCCCAACGGGCGCGCACCTGATCCAGGTGAGGGAATAGGTGTACGCCCTGCTTTCGCCAATGCAATCACCAGTCCTAGAACCTTGCTCAGAACATAGCTCAATTGCGTCCACCCGCCTCATTCCTCTGGAACCTTCTAAACCACCCCTCTTTTTAATCGGGAAAACCCACTGATTGGGCAGTAACGCGGCCTAGGGTCGGTGGTCCAACGGGGTACCCTGCCCACGAGGGCGGTACCTCAGAGCAGAGAAGCACCGCCCAGGGAGGGTCCGCGAGCCAGTGTCCCAGAGCTCATTGGCCGCCCTGGCACGTCCTAATCCGCCCTGCACAACACCGTGCCACCCTGACCTTATCTGCGCGTAGTCCCGCGTTCACTCCGCCCTCTGTCCCTAGGCGTGTGACCACAGCCTAGCCGAGAGGAGACTCCAGACGCTGTTTCCAGGCCCCGCCCTCCCGTCAGCCCCGCCCCACAGCCCAGCCCAGCCCTCCAGGCCACTTCTGGCCCCTCCTCTGGCGGCGTGCAAACGTGAGGCGCGGACTGCGCAGGTTTGCAAGCAGAACACTTGCGGTACGCATGCGCCGAGTCCTTACGCGGTCTCTGGGCGCCAGTGTCCGTACCGAAAGATGGCAGAGGTTGGGTCCAAGTCAGTGTTGTTCGTGTGTCTCGGTAAGGGCGCGCCGGCTTAACAGTTTTTCTCTTTGGGACCCTGAAGTACTGCTTGTGTTAAGCTTCTGAACAAGAACACTGGGCGGAGGGAAGCAGAGACAGGAGGCCTTGGCTGGTCCCGCGCCGAAGTACATATTTGCCTGGCTTTTTCATACCCATCCCCCATCTTCCGGTGCTGCTCTGAACCTAAGATCGCTACAGTTTTGCCCCAGATTATGCCTCTGCTCTCCTTCCTGCCTTTTCCAAGCCCATGCCACCCTCCCAACTGCCCTTCCTCCATAAATCTTTGTCCTACTCCTGTCTCTCCCAATTCTGTGGCCCTTCTCACTTGCTCCTCCTCCCCCACATCTGTGTCTCCCATCACCTGCTGTGTAAGTTACTTTCCTTATCTCTGTGATGAAATATCTAACCAAAACAATCTAAGAACAGATTTGTTTTGCCTCAGTTTTAGAGGTTTCGAGACTTTCTTGAGTGATTGTTGATTCTGGTCTTCAGGTGGGCAAAGCATGAGTCAGACTACTCCATGTGGACTGGAAGCACAGAAAGGGAGACATGGCGGTAGAAAGCAAGACCAACTTTAGCCCCAGGAACATGCACCCAGTCATGTGCTTTCTTGTGCAAGGCCCCACATTACTTTCCATCACTCTCCAGTAATTTTATCATACTGTGAATCTAATGGATTAAACCATTGACTAGGTCAGAGCCCTTATGATCAAATCCCCTCTGGATACGCCATCAACAACATACTGAGAGTTGTGTTTTTCTAATCAGTTATCATCCCTGCCCTTCCCTCATGCCCTCGTCCTTCACCTAACTTGTCTTTCGTCCTCCAAACCCTCCCACCTCTCACCTGCCAACTGGTTCAGGTGGCTTCATGTCTCTAAGTGTGACTCCCTAAGCTAGCCCCTTCTACTTTAATGGTTGGAGTTCTTGGTTCCCCTCCATTGTGCCAAGATGAACCAAGGCTGTGGGAAGAACATTCTGACAGTGTCCTAAGCAGGCTTGCTTGGTGTCATCTTTGGGTCACAGTTGCTGTGGTTCTCAGCAGTAGTCTGTCTCTTCTTTAGGTCTCTCAGAAACCTTGGTTTCCAGTTCCTGGGGCAATCACTCAGTTTTTAAAAAAGTTTTAAAAAGTTTTTTAAAAAGATGAATAATCTTTCAAATATCTTCCAACTCAGAATTTTCATTCTCAGAATTTCAACAATGATTTTCCTTTATAGAATATATGATTAATTTTTCTTTCAAAGTTCTTACCTCATTGCCTCCACCCTGAGGGGAAAGACCTAAATTGCCAACAGTCCAGTTATTGAGATCTTTTGCCTTCTGCATTTCCTACAGAGTAGCACTCCTTGTCTTTAGGACAGAAATAGGCCAAGACTTTTCCTGTCCACCTCTCTATCTTTCCACTCACCCGTAGAGACTACCTTTAAGAAATTGTTGCTGGCCTGCTCTGATGGTGGTCTCTGTGCATTGATGGTGTGGTTTTGCTTAGAAAGCCTTATGTGTTATGAAGTCAAAATCAAAGACTCCTGTCTTTTCTTCCCTAGACCATTAGTCACTTCCTTTTACCTTCTATAAGAGAAATTTTATTCTACAAATTTAATTTTTATTTGACAGCCTGTTGAGTTCCTAGTAAGAGTTATCTTTCTTGTGGGTAATAGCTTATTTTTCCACCTTCAGTACAATATAGTATGTGATATTTGCAAGGTGTCTGTACTAGGTAATTTCTCTGAAGAGAAAAGTACAAGTACAAGTTATTTCATGTTGATAGTGGACATTACGGTCTTTATTGAAGGCCATGGAAACAACATATTTGTTAAACATTGGTTTCTTTCAGTACCTATTAGTATGCTCTATTTCTGCTTATTATAGTTAACTATCCTGGCATATTGCACTAGTGTGACATTTAAAGAGAAGTATTTGATTGCATATATTTGTCTTCAATATAATTCAGTATTTTGTTTTTAACCACTGGAGATGCATATAGTGGTGAACACCGCAGATGAAGCCTTAGCCTTTCGGAAGCCTGTGTTCTGTCATTATCAGTCAAGTAATGCTAGTGGCCTCATTCAGTTGGTGTGAAGTGTTCAATAAAAGCAGAAACAGAGTGGGAACTGGAATTACCTGAAGGTGACCAGTAAGCAGAGACCTGAAGGTGGGCAGGGGGCATGTCTGTCCTGGCCCTGAAGACAGAGCATGTGGTTTTCAGGTGAGAGTTGTAACTAGGGCAGTCATGATACCTGAGTTTGGAGACCAGGCAGCCTTTCTCAGCCAAGCTTTCTTTGCCCATGGGTATCAAACATATATCATTCTAAATACATTAGGAGAAATTAGGTCCTTATGTACAGTGTATACTTTAGGTCAGGCATCTACATACTCTGTAAAGAGCTGGAGTGAATCCTTAAACTTTGTGTGGCGAGCAATAGTGTAATCATAGATGGCTAATAAGCAGTCAAGCTTGGTTATGTTCAGTAGAACTTGTTCATAGATACCAGCATTGGGACTTGAGATAATTTTCACATATCACAAGATTTTCTGCATTTGCATTTTTTAATGATTTAAAACTAAAAATTTTGTTAACCCTCTGGACTATATGTGAGTATGGTAGGCCATGAGTTGTCATTTCTGGACTCCTATTTGGAGTGCAGATCATGGGAGGCTGTGTGAGGACTTGGGTTTACTCTGAGTGAGATAAGCGATGGGAGGTTCAGAGCAGAAGTGGGGAGGGGTATAGTTTGTTCCATCTGCAGTGTGGAGATTAGGCTGCAAGAGGCCCTGGGAGAAGCAAGGATATCCTTCTTAGTCAGATGTGTGCTAGTCAGGTGGTAAGTTGCTAGTCCAGGAAAATTTGAGGGTAGTACAGATGCATTGTACCCATAGCCCATTTGGAGTACAGTAAAAGCTGTTGTGTTTGAAATGTAAAAGTTTTATTCCTTCAGAACATTTCGTCGGGCTCTTTTACGATGAAGTGTACATGTACAGAACCATCAGGAGTTTGTCAGTCATAGGGCTATTGGTTAAGAAGGGCATCTTGTTTTATTATGATTATGAGAGGAGCTTTTTAAAGCTGGTCAAGACTAGACAAAGGCAGGTGTGATCTCAGCTCCAGCCATTTTGGTTGGTAAGAAACCAATGTCATGTTTAAGTTCCAGAACTTGTAAAAGGTAAAATCTGAGGCTGAGGCTCCATGTTTTTCTTATGGCTAGTGTACTGACTTCTAATGTATATATATTTTTTTATTTGTTCATTTTTGATGGGGTCAGAAATCTAACCTAGGATCTTGTATATACTAGGCAACATCTCAACTGTGTATCTTTTAATAATATTAATTTTAATAACACAAATTGGGAAGCTAGAGGCTAGTTATTAGCACTGGTTATAGCTAGTTATTTATTGATCTTGTAGGTTGTGTGACTTGTAGTCTCTGTAGAAATAGGGTACTTTTAATCTACACTTACATATCTTTAAATACAGCTGTCTGGGCTGAAAGTATGAGTGAATATGCTAAAATGATGAAATGGCCCAGATTTTTGTATTGTAGAAAAACAAAACTTATTTCACAGTTAGTGATATGCATATTTTTATACAGAAGTGGAGACATTTTGCATTTTATCTTTATATGCTGAGATATTACATATCAATTATTTCTAAAGTTCCAAAATAATGACAGTTGTCCTAATTTGCCCATCATTATTGGCTATAAAAAGTATTACCTGGATAGGTGGTGATGTGCATGAAGTCTTTTGGTGGTGAAACTTTATGAGGAAAATCAGGGTTAGGGAGATCTTAGTTGGAGGGACCTAGGTTTTATCCCCAAAACCTAAGTTTAAATAAAAGAAAAAAAACTGTATATGGTAATATACTTTTTACAATCCCAGTACTGGGTAGGTAGAGTCTTTTGGGTCCCTGAGCCTCTTGGCCAGCAAGCCTGTCCTACTAAGGTTGCTCTAAACCAGTAAGAAACCTTGTCTCATGGAGGAGGAGTGGATGGGGAGGGGAGGTAGATGGGAAGTGTGGGGAGGGAAAGGGAGGAGAGGAGAGAGGGGAAACTGTAAAATAAATGAAAAAATGTTAATTAAATTAAAAAAAAAACCTGTCTCAGAAAACAAAGTGGACAACACCACCTGACATTACCCCCATCCTCTTTATGCACCTGACACCTGCCTGTGCACCCACACATATACAGAGAAAAATTAAACAAAAATTAAAATGTAAAAAAAAAAAATCACAACCAGGACTAGCATTATAGAGGACATTCGAAATAAATTCCTGTCTTAGCTTTAATGGTTAGTCAGTAAGACTTTTTATTGCTATTAAAAGCAAAAAAACACAGTATATAAGAAGCCAAATAATTAGTCTTGTAGCTATGGAAGGATGTACAATTATGGCAGGAACTGGTCCAGGGACCAGAGCATCTGTTTCATCACATGTCAGAATGTCTGATTGTATATAAGAAGCCAGGAGATTTTGACCTCTACAGTTTCTTTCTTGCTTGCTTAATTTTGTTCATAATGTTGGGTTTATGTCATACACCCAAATATGTTATTTTGTTTTGCTGTGTACCTGGAACAAAGTCTCTTACATCCTGCTTTCCTGCCTCTTGCCCCCTGTAGCAAAGCAGACTTCCTCTAAGATAGGACATAGACTCTGTAATTCCTGTAATTTCCTTTAAGAAACCTTAAACCCAGAAATATTATTTCCCATTCTCCCTTAAAGACCTGCATTCTAGAGTTGATCCCACACTAGGAGGAAAGATTGGGACACAGACAAACATCACTAGGCTCCTACCAGTCTCCCTGCATGTGTTTCATCAGGAAGAGGTGCTTTGTCCAGTCAACAACTATCCATTCTTATCAGACTTAGTCATAAAATTATATATGCTAACTCTTTAACAAATGGGAAGTGGGACAGTTCTTTCAAAACTCTTTGGCTCTTCAATCAGAAGGTTTCTGTGTCAAATAAAACTAAATAGGTCTGCATGTTTTTCTCTTATAAACCTGCCTTATTAGAGTTGTCTGGGCTGATTAAAGGGTGGGTGAGGAAAGGAGTCATACTTATATACCTAGTTTCCCATTGCCTTTTTCATGTAACCTCACAGAGTATCTCTGTCTTCCATTCTGAGCTCTTCTGAACTTTCCCACCTTGCAGGAAGATATTGTATCTTAAACAGCTTTCTGTCTGCAGGCCTACTATACTACTTGGCTCAAAAGTAGTAGGCATACAAAGTCAGTGTGTTTGGTAAGCTACATTGCCAGAACCTTCAAATTGTTCTCACTGGCCACACCAAGTACAGACTTGGCATGGGATTAGGGCTCCATGTCCCAGACCCCTCAATTCATGCTCTCTGATGGCAGTCCCTGCCTTCTGTGTCTGGACTAGTACAGATGCATCCCTGCATCCTGCACTTCCTACCTTCAGGTCCTTCCACAATGCCATTTAGACTTTTTATCCTCTGGACATCAGTTCAGTCTTAGGTTCCCTGGCATCTTATTTAGCTTTGTGGAGTCTTTGTTTCTCTAGTCTGGTACTATTGCAGCATTTATTTATCAGCATTTATTATTATTTTTATTATTATGTTGTATCTTTTCAGTATATGAGCATGCCTCATTGTTGATCTGCTTGCAGAGGTAAGGTGTCTTTTGACATTCTTGGTATAGTAAGGAATTTGGTTCTTGTTCAGATTGGCTCACCTTTGATTTCCTTGTACTTTCTTGGAATGATGGAGCATCTGTTAACACCTGGAAGCCCCATAGTTGTATGTTGTTGGGGGACTCGGGTAGGTCCTGATTCATCATCTCCTCACATTTAACTAGTAACTCTGAATATCAGTACTGTGGTTAGCTTCCTGGCTTGGCAGTAGTACTCTTAGCATATTGTCAGTCAATGACAAGAGGGTTAGGTGTCCCCCAAGGACAAGAAGACTTCTTATTTGGGACCTCCAAAATGAGTTTTCCCTCCCTCCATCTGTCTTCAATCTGTATCTTCTTTTGAGTCACAACCATGTCTCTTACCTGAATTCTAAGGAATCACTAAACCTGAGAAGCAGGGGGAGGGAAGGCAGTTTGTAGCCAGCTAGATTGGGGCTTCCAACCTAGCTATTGATGTCAGAAGTTGGGGACAGATGAGGCAGTCAGGAGAAACCTCTCCCTGTTTCTCTAGCTGGCTAACTCGTGGGACCACAGTCTTCTTGGGATAGGGCTTTGCATGATTACTCAGTAAAGCTTGTGTTGAATTGCCTTGTATTTTAATTTGAAATGTTACTAATCTTTATTATGTTTGGTATACTTAAAAATATATATTCCTGTTCTAATGTACTTATTTTAACTTAAACTAAGCTGATTGCAACCCACTTCACTGATTTCAGAACTTGGTTTTGGTTCATTGCTAGTGAAAGTTGATTTGGGTTTTATTTGCTTTCTTGAGCTTTAGTTACCTCAACTGTGAATGTGGTTTGATCAGTGGTTGTGCCAAGGAATTCTTCACCGCTTTCCCAGTCTTAAATGCAGTTACTGGGTATCCACTTTGAGAGTGGTCTACCCATTCTGTAAGCCAGGAGTTGATATCTACCTTTCTGCCACAACTAACAACCTGTATGTCTTCTCCCTTTTTTTTTAAGGTAACATTTGCCGGTCACCCATTGCAGAAGCAGTTTTCAGAAAATTGGTAACTGATGAAAATGTTTCAGATAATGTGAGTACTGTTCAATAGTGTAAAGAGTCCAGGCTAAGTACCTATGGGCAGAAAGGTGCCAGAACATTCTTTTTCTCTCCTGCAGTGGAGGATAGACAGTGCGGCTACATCCACCTATGAAGTGGGGAACCCCCCTGACTATCGTGGGCAGAGCTGCATGAGAAAACATGGCATCCCCATGAATCACATTGCACGGCAGGTACTGTACTGGAACTTGACGTATGTTTTGTGTTACAGTGGGCCATTGACAGCAGCGCTGTTTCCGACTGGAACGTGGGCCGGTCCCCAGACCCAAGAGCTGTCAGCTGCCTAAGAAATCATGGCATTAGCACAGCCCATAAGGCAAGACAGGTAGAAAAGATCTTGTTTAATTTCTACTACATAGAATCCCATAATTTGAAAGACTGACCACCCTATGTGTTACTGGATGTATTTGGTTGGGGTGAACTAACTTGCTACCTGTGTAGTTCTAAAGGTTTAGATGACCTTGGATAACTTGTTAGAGTACAAATAAAAGGCATAAAGTACAGTGAGACAGTCTTGACTCTGAGGCCTTGAAAAGCAAAGACAGAAGCTCCTTCCAGAGCAGTTTTAATGATTAGCTTTAGAAGTAGGATTTCCATGGAATCTTTTTGTTTTTTTCTTTTCCTTTTGTTTTTAAGAAAAAGTTCTCTTGTTTTTTTAGTTTGAAAACACTAGTAAAGAATATTCTGTAGGTCGATATCACATTTTTTGCTTATGTTTACAGGTTCTTTCTCTTTACTGATTTCTACCCTTTGTGTAAATAACTATTCTAGTATGGTTCTTAAAGTTTTATTTCCCTAGTCTGTCAACCTAGTTTTACTAGATGGCCTGTTGTTAGGATGCTAGTTCTTTTTTGACTCAGTAGTAATGTCTTGGGCTGTGAGCTTAGTGTGGTCAGCTGTGGAGAACAGCCCTTGTTGTTGAAGTGTTCCTTCGATCAGCTTGTCCATGAACTGAATATGACACTGAGGTTACGTGGATGCTTCTCCCTTTCATGGAGAGGTCACCCCCAAAATTCCCTTCTGCTTTTTAACCTGATATGAGTAGGATCATTTGCATTTTCTTTTGTTGAGTCAGGGTGATACTCTGTAACCCAGACTAGCCTCAGACTCAAGGCAGTCCTCCTGATTCAGCTTCCCCAATGCTACCCAGGGATTGTGGGTATGCACGGTATCCCTGGCACAGAGGTGGAGTCCATACATTCATAGTATCTTCTCAGTGTTTCTGCTAAGTGTAACAGCAGTTGTCCTGGTCAGTGTTAAGTGCTTTATTGTTCTACCTGCTCTTCCTCTGCTGGGCTTGTGGGCAGCTTCTAGTGTGAGATTTCTATGGGTAGCGCTCCGCTGCAGATGGAGTGAGCACGAATACAGGATTCTAACGGGTTTATACCTAGCGTCTGTGCCTGTACCTCATCAAATGCACTGGGGATGCTTTCTTATCTTTAGAAGTTTGTAAAAAGTTGACAGTATCTCTACTTTGGAAAAGTTGGTCTGATCAATTGTTTTTGCTGTTTCTTTGGTTTGAAATTACCCATCTTTTTTTCTGGATGCTTGTTTTTCTTCTGGTCTACAGTTAAGCAGCTTTGCTGTGAGAAACCAAAGTATGCTTTTTGAATTGTGACTTGATTTTTTTTTTTAAATCAATTTTGGGAAATGACAGACTGTTGTTTTGCCACATTTTCCTTTTTTTTGTAAAGACAACTTTTATGTATATTGAACATAAAATCTTTATGTTCTTTTCTCTTGTTTCCATCCTGTCACTCTTCTTATTATGAGATTTCCTGCTAACCAGTTGTCTGCTCTAAACATTTTGCTATTTCCAGAGTCCATAAGTGTATTTATGGAGTTATTGATGTCTGTTATTTTATTAACAGGTGTTTTAGGTTTTACTTGATCTTTTTGTAATTGTAGTTTTCTGGTGAAACTTAACCTCTTATAGTTTTTTGGACATCATACTGTTACTATTATTTCATAATTTATTCTTTGGCAATTTCATATGTGTGCATAATATATTTGCTCCTATTAACTTTTCTATTTTCCTCTTGTCTCCTTCTTACTCCTTTCGATTCCTTCTTCTCAACATATCTCCCTCCTACTTTCGTGAGTGTGTGCACACACTCATCCCACTGAGTTTAATTAGGGGTGTTGCATGCCTGTGGTATGGGGTTATTTACTGGATAGTGGGGAGCTTACCATTGGCTGCTCCACTTAAGAAAAATGACCTCCTCAGCTAGGGGTTAGGCCTCATGTGTCCCGTCCCCCCAGTTCTTGCCAGACTATTGATGGGCTCCATGTTGTGCAGTAATGAAAGCTGCTGTGAATTCACAAGTGAACATACTGTTAGTATTTTAAATAAGGTTTGTTAACATCTTTCTGTGTCATTTCTGAGCCTGCTCTCTTTTTACCTTTTTGGAGTACTGGGAATTAGAGTACCTTAGGTAGGGCCTAGTACATGATTTTATGCAAACGATCTGCCACTGAGCTGTATCCCCAGCATTATTTAGTTTTTATTTTGATAGTCTCACTCTGTAGCCTAGGTTGGCCTTGATCATGATCTTCCTGCTTCTCCTTCGCAAGGAGCTGAAATTACAGACCTATAATACTAGGCCTGGCGAGTCTGTTTTCTTCTCTTTGCCATGTGGTGTCCTTGCAGGTGGTGTGTAACAATCACAGTGCCTTTGAATGATCACATTCTTGCACCATTGTTGTCAGGATGCAGGTATATAAGAGTCTCAGTCAGATTGAGGGCTTATGGTAATCGAGTACCCTGCTCTTTCTGCTAGGCCTGAGGTATGGCATAGCCAGCACACCATTAGAGCAGGGGCAGTCCTGGCATCGAATGTTGGTCTTTTCTTTACTGAGTCGACACAACTTCTCATTGGCCTGTTGAGCTTTTTTTGCCCTGGTAGGAGAGAACTTGGTCAGGCCAAGAGGAAAAGGCTATACTAGCTCTCATTTTCTGGGCCTGTGTTCTTCCAAGGCTGGCTGCAGTTTCTTCTCCATTTTCCCAGACTGACAACAAGGCAGCTGGGGCCCTGTTTTTCTACCATGGCCTTTGCTTGGGTCTCTATTCTCAAGGAAGCTCCTGGGCACTTGACACCATTGAAATCTCAGTCCTGGTGGTTGTTTGTGCGTGCTTACTCAGTTGTGGTTTAGTATCAAACAGTAATATTCACAGTGATCCACAAGTCCTTTGGAAGCATTCCTAAATTGCACATAACTTTACCTTAGATGGTATAACCTAATAGAACCCAGTGCAGGAGCTTATAAGAAAATCTGCCTGACAGTACTATCCCCTGAACTGAAAATTAAAACGTCTGTGGGCTAGAGCAATGTCTCAGTGGTTGAGTTCTTCCTCAGCACCCATGTTAGGTAGATCATAACTCTAGCTCCAGGTGATCTGATGCCTTCTGGTTTCTTCTAGCACCCGCATACAGGTGCATACCTTCACACACACACACACACACACACACACACACACACACACACACACACACAAATAAATAAACAAACAAACAGACAAATAAGAACAAATCTTAAGAAAAAAAGCCCATGGTTCTGGGTTTTTGATGTTTTAAAAAATATTTGTTTATTTTTGTTTTATGTGTATGAATGTTTTGCCTGTAAGTATGTGTACCACATTCATGTAGTGCTTGTAGAGGCTAGAAGAGAGTGTCAGAATCATTGAAACTTGAATTACACAGTTTTGAGACACCATGTGGATGCTGGGAACTGAACCTGGACCCTGCAAGAGCAACAAGTGCTTTTCACCTCTGAGCTATTTCTCTAGTCCTGGATTTGTATTTTTTAATTAAGAAAAAAATAATTTTGTTTTAGTTTTAACAATGATAAAACCCCCATAAATGGGCTGTTTGGATATGGACTTGAATGCTTTGAGAGTTAAAAGAACTCTTGGACTATAATGACTTGAGAGTTAAAAAGCCCTTAGTGCTTAGTAAGATCAGCAGGTAAGGCTCATGCATAGGAACTCAACTGGAGATGATCTGTTATCTGTGGCTGTATCCCTGCCACACTGCTGTAATGAACCAGGTATTCTTAGGAATATGCTTATGACCTTGAAGAAGTATCTTGGTTTCTGTGTGGGTTTTCTAATTATATTTGGTAATGGGATTAATTTGTCACATGCCATATCCTGTGTAGCTGCATGCAAAAATGCTTTACTGTGCATTCTTCATGAGATGAAGTTCTAGCTGCTCTTCTTAGTTATTTTAAAATCCCAAAATCTCATGTGGTTTGACTGTGTAAGCTACTAAGTGTTAACCTTTTTTAAAGGATAAATCAATTATAATAGGCGAAAATTAATGCTAAGGTATTTCTTATAACTTGAAAAAGTAACATTGTATATAATAGTATTTGCTTAATATCTTTGAAATAAGTTATAAGTCTTGGGGATATTAAAAACAATACAATGTAGCTAGAGTTTTCCTGCCTGACCCACAGTCAGGACAAATCTCTCTCACCTGCCAGTCCCACAGCTGCTCAGACCCGACCAAGTAAACACAGAGACTTATATTGGTTACAAACTGTATGGCCGTGGCAGGCTTCTTGCTAACTGTTCTTACAGCTTAATTTAATCCATTTCCATTAATCTATACCTTGCCACATGGCTCGTGGCTTACCGGCATCTTCACATGCTGTTTGTCATGGTGGCGGCTGGCAGTGTCTCTCTGACTCAGCCTTCCACTTCCCAGCTTTATTCTCCTCCTTGTCCCGCCTATACTTCCTGCCTAGCCAATGGCTAATCAGTGATTTATTTATTGACCAATCAGAGCAACAGATTTGACATACAGACAATACAATCCTTTGTAATTATTTAAATGCTATACTAAAAGTTAATAGAAGTGTATACAAAAAGCTAAAATTGCCATTTTTAATAGAATAACAAGCAAGTGACCATTTTTATTATTGTTGGCTATAGTTGTTGTTCCTTTTACCCAAGTGCTTCCTGGGTAGTCAAAATCTAGAAGATAAATTTCTTTGACTACACTTAAGGGGGCTTACATGTCTTAAACTATATGGTGTCAAAAAAAAAATGTGCATCTGATGACGTCCTAGAAGAATCCCTTCCATGTTAAGTTATGGATTTGCAGTCATGGATTCCTGGTAGACCTTCTACCCTTTGAAAATGAGTTGCTCTCCCTTTTCTCAGGCCCTGTATCTCCTTTCTGCCTTGCTTTCTGTGAGAATATTTATTGTCCTTCATGAATAAATGGGTCCACTAGAAGATCTGTTCCTTGATTAATCTGGAGTATGTTACCAAGGCCTAAGACAGTCAGTGGAATGACAAATAGAGTAGTGGAGGTGATTGCATGAAAGTCATTTCAATGTGTCAACAGAATTATATTTCTTTACTGAGGGACCAAAACTGGCAATAAACTTTATGTCCATATTTCATATTTTCTAATTGTTGCAAAGAACCTTGTACAAAATGTCCACATTTTATATTTTTTGATTATTTCAAAGAACCTTGCACAAAATTATTTTGCAGTATAATTTTGAAAATACTTAAAAATACTCTAAATTGCTTATTTTGTTAAAATTTTACTTAATGACTGAACATGCAATTTAGTTAATGAATTAACGTGTTTTTTTTCCAACTGCTGTTTTGTATGTATATAATCACTGTGTTTTGACTCCTTAATTGTAGATTACAAAAGAAGACTTTGCCACATTCGATTATATACTATGTATGGATGAAAGCAATCTGAGGTAATCATTATATACAATTGGTTTTTTAAGACAGGGTTTCCCTGTGTGGCCCTATCTGTTCTGGAACTCACAACTGCCTCTGCCTCCTGAGTGCTGAGATTACAGGCAAGTGCCCCCATGCCTGCCTTATAAGGTAATTATAGTATCCCTGTCCTCTCAGTGTGTCATAGGCCTAGCAAGTGATTGTACAGAATGTCTTACAGTTTTTAATGTACAAGGTTGATTATAATTTACAGAATTATTCAGGATGGCAGGAATATCAGAGGGTGAGGTATGGTTGTCTCAGAGATCTGTTTGCAGAGATGTGTCTTCCAAAAGACAAAGTCCAGCTAGTGTAATGAATGGACATGGAGACCAGCTGGTTTGGGGCTATAGGTTTAGAGATGATGCATTGATTTGCATTGATTCTGTTAACTGCTGTAATACAGGAGAAGTATCTTGTATCTTATTTCCGTAGAAATGCAGCACTCTAGAGTAAGTCTGATAAGATAGAGACTTTACTGGGTTTACATTTTTGGTTAATTAACACTGATGGGCTAAGATGTTAAGTAGCAATGGTTGCTCTGTAATGCTAATGTGGTCTGCAGGTCCACACCACTCATTAGTAAATTCACTTTATTACCAAGGAAGAAATTGAGGAACTGTGGACTTAAGTTACTCCCCTAAGTTCATGAGACAGATAGTTGGATATAGAAGGGCCTAAAGCCATAGCTGCTTCCACCTTGGCCTTCATGCTTTCCATTGAACTCATTTGTCCCAACCACACTTGCTTCACTCACCTGTCCTTGCACTCAGTCCTACTTGCTTCATTCTTCACTTGACCTGAACGTTGTCCAAACTGTCCCTTTGTCTTGGGATGTGGTATACATGTTTTGTTTTTTTTTTTCCACTTCTCTCCTGACATTTTATGTGTCTGAAATGATATCATTTTTATTATATCAAAATCCATTTCAAAATCAAAAGAAAACCTAATAATTGTGTGACTTAAAGATGTACATTTGGGTATCAAAATCAGTGCACTGTGGCATACAGCTGCAGGAGTCCCACAGGTCTTCAGAGTATTCTGTTTCATTTCAAATCAGGTTGCATGGTTGTATTTTGATAGGACATTTCATAAACCCTGAGCAGATGTCCCTGTTTAACTTAAAACCTTAGATCAGAAATCTAAGTTCATGTTTTGATTTTACAGAGATTTGAATAGAAGAAGTAATCAAGTTAAAAACTGCAAAGCTAAAATTGAGTTACTTGGGAGCTATGATCCACAGAAACAACTCATTATTGAAGATCCCTATTATGTAAGTACATTTCAGGTTTGGGGCCACTGTTAAGATGGGCAGGAAATATTATTCTGTAGAATTAAATGACAGGAGTGGGTCTTCTGAGGACATTGTTATCATAAACCATTGTTGGGTTTTCTTTTTATGTCCTTGCAGGGCAATGATTCTGACTTCGAAGTGGTGTACCAGCAATGCCTCAGGTGCTGCAAGGCCTTCCTGGAGAAGACTCACTAGATGGTCCTGCCCACCACCATTGAGCAACTCACTCACCAGAGCCATGCCCAAGGGTGGTGGCAGCCCTTAGCCCCATGCCCCACCTGTCTTTTCAGCTGATTTACTACTGTATATCTTTAAAATAACTGTAGGTGGAAATTAGGAATATGTTCAGAAGGATAAAAATATTTGAATAAGACAGTTTGAGGTGTGGCTAAGCATTCTTAGACTAATTGAACCTCTCACCTTGTCCTAATTACAAAATAGTGGAACAAGCAAATATGGAACAAAATAGAACCCAATAAAGTAAAAATGACCTACAAGGTCCAGATCAGCCTCTGAGCTCAGCCAGCCTGAGCACTCTGGTCTAACTAGAGTGTGTGTATGGGGCCTTATACCTCTGTCCTAGACTCTTGTGACAATAACTCCATCCATATCAGCCTTCCACTTAACATTGGAAGAGTTTAAACTCAGACACTGAGGACATTTAAATATTTGAAAGAGGAGAAGCTGGCTGTGATAATGTAGGCCTGCAATTCCGGCAGGCCATCTTGGGCTATACAGTGGAGATGGGAGCAACAGATTGATAAAATGAGCACTTTTACTCTTACTTGGTTTTTCTCTGGTGTTTTTGAGCTTTGTTTTGCCTCAATAGTGGTATGTTTGTAGTGTTCTTTCATCAGCATTTTAAAAAGTTAACAGGCAAGCATAAGTAATTTTAGTGCATTTTCAGAAAAGTGACCTCAAATTCATATGGCTATATGTCAGAAAAGAATGTGAGTTAAACTGGGAAGTTAACAAATACAACTGAAATAGAAATCTGGTGTCTGCCTCCTTTTTTATTGACAAATAAAAAAAAAAATAGCTAAAACATTGCCTCCATGTGCCTTTTTATTTGGTCTGATGTTAAGTTTGTGTACTTATTCTCAATATTAGAAAGTAAAATGATGAAAAATATAAGCACATTGCTGTGACAAGTGGTGATGTATGCTTAATTAAGAGACTCCAGGAACTACCCTTCTCTGTGAGCCTTCTTCATGTAACTGGTGCTCCCCGCCAGCTTCCTAGCTGAGTAGCTGATAACTATTTTAGCCTGACTTAACTGGTCACAACTGGTGACCTCCAATCCTGGAGAACTTCTAGTTTGAAAAGGCATCCATCCATATTTGAAAGGAAGCACGGAGACCTGGGAATATGCAGTTACCTGCTTGGCCAGAGCCCACTCTCAAAGGAGGAAGATGAAACGGCTGACCCTCTGGAGGAAAGCAACCATCCCAATACCCTCTTCTCACAAAAAGGTCATGATGTCCTGACAGAGACAGACACTTCACCAGTTGACTTTTTCTGGCGCTTGTGGGGTTTTGGTCATAGTTTTCACAAAGTTAAAAACTAGGAAAGCAAAGGGCAAGTAGTCAACTACAATAAAGAAACAGATTGAGTCAAAAGCTCTCCGTTTTAGTTGAGTAGTTGCTTCAGGATCTCAAATATCTCTTTCACGTTATAAAATCCTATTGTTTGCTTGAATTTTTACATGTATATTTTAGATGCAGGTCCTTGGAATGTGGTATTCTGGTGGCAGTTTTGTTCTATGGCTGTCCCAAACAGCACCTTGTATTTATAAGAGCTCATGAACAGAAATTTACCTTTTTAAGTTCAATCCAGTTACATTTATTTAAAATACAGCCATTAAAATTTGGAATTGCTCATAGAGTTCTTAGCTTGGCATTCTCTTACAATCATGTAGGAAATGGTGAATATGAACTTATTTGGAGTATTGATGACTAAATGACACCAAGTAATCAGGAATTTGTGTCATTTAATACACCTATACACACACACACACACACACACACACACACACACACACACACACACACACTAAGCAATGACATTGTTATAGAAGAGTCACTCTGAAGACTGTTCATTATACCAAACACTTCATTTATTTCCTTGTACTTATTCACAGTATTTACATTGTACAATACCTGGATTGTACTTTTACAGAGGACAAATGGGACTGGCCTGGACATATCTGCAGATTGATATGTCACTGTCTTCAACACAAGTGAGGTTTTTTTGGTTTTCATTAAAATTTTTCATGCAGTTCCAAACTATACTTGGGGAGTTTAATTGTAGAAGTAGTACAAAATGTCAAATCATACTGTATACTATGAAAATACAATTTAATGTTCTGCCTATGTTTTTAAAGAAATACTCCCTTTTGGTTCCACCTAATCTTAAAAGCGAAATACCTCATTTTATAGCATTAAACATCAAATGTGGAGTGTTCTCAATTCTTACAATCTAAAGAGTGGCAAGTCTCACTGACAGAAACATTGATTTGCTGAATGTATATTTGTAAACTGTCAGCAACATAGAAAATGCAAAGGGATTACGGAAGAATGCAAAAATAAATCTCTGTCCACAGGAAATGGGCATGAAGATGGTTCTGTTCTCTGTTGGTTTCCAAGGCACTTTTCAAGGTTCCTGGTGTTGCTCCTTTGCAGCTGAAAACAATTACATTTGATTTTATATTGCCACTCACTTTTTATTACAAATTCTAGAGGACCAATGAGTTCAGCAATATAATAACACATTTATAAACAAGGAGTCTTTATCTATCTTATGTTCAAAGTCTAGGTCTTTCCCCCACTCCAACCTGGAAAACAACTTAATTCTTTCCTTACCATGTGCTTGCTGCCTAAGGGATGAAAGCCATCATGCACACCTGTGAATAAATACTTGCTACTGTTAACTTTAGTTCTTGGTCTTAATGTATGATGGGGATCTTTGGTTATTCAATCAATAGAGTTGCAGTTTGTGTCACTTCAGGGAAAGTGACACAAACTTGCCTTAAACTTCAGTGTTCACACAGTAAACTTACTATTTAATCAAAACCCTTTCTAGTACTTCTTGTTAAAATACCTGTCTACCTGTTAGTTTTAAAGGAAGGGTAACATCAAGGTTACTAGGCCATATTTAGGTTAAACCAGGTACTTGGATACTTAGTATTCAAGTTTATACTTAAAAAAAAAAAAAATCCCAGAGCTCAGGCTTTTCATTTAACTGACCTGTAGGTTCAATAATAAAGTGTATGTGTGACTCATAATATGCTTTCTCTGGTCTGAGGACAGTTACTGAGCTTCCCAAGGAAACCTCATGAATTTGCTCATTACTTGTCTCCTAGGACTTGTAAAACCTGACCCTTAGGCTGTGGGCAAGAGTTGGGACAGGAATCTAGTCCAGTTGTCTGGAAAAGAGACGATGAAAACTAAGCAGAAGACTGGTGTGGCCACTGTGAGCCAGCAGAACACATGCTCAGGGTTTTCTCCATTGTGGTGAGACGGGATGCTTGTTCTGGACCTGACTAGTACCCTGACTAATCTGCAAAGTACAGAGACACCTACCTAGGTTTATACTGGTGGCCACTAGATACAGGTTTGCTGTCAGTTTTAACCTTCTGACTTAAAAGAGTTTAATCTTTAAAAAATAAAAGTTTTAAACTAATAGCAGAGATACTAGTGTTTTAAACTGCACCCCCCCCCCCCATATTTTGGCCAAACTGAACCTATTTCATGTGGGACAAGTGACTGTTGAAGCAGGTGGCCTTTGGTGCAGAAGTTTGAGAACACAGATCTTAATGCCCCTGTACTGTGTTGCAATATCCTGTCTGGATAATGCAGGAGATGTAGCAGAAGCCACTGTGACTTACTGTGGCTGCCCCATGCCGTATCTCTTCAACATGCCTTTTCCTTGCTGTTTTCTATAATACACTATTATTAGGGCAAGCATAGATGTGCTGCTGATGCCTGGCAGACTGGCCAAGTAGAGCTGGTGCATGAATACAGTGTACTGCTGGTAGTTTGGCTCTTTGGGAAACTGAATCCTGTACAAGAGCAGCCAGCCCTCAGGAGGCTAGGTGGTACCAAAGGCAAGAAAGTTCTCAGTGGATAGGCTGGACATTCATGCCCTACTTCCCAAGGGACACCCAAAGGATATAATAGAGCTGACATTTTTATTTTCCCAGAACATTACCAGCACAACTACATGTATGTGTATGTATGTATGTATATGTGAAGAGAAAACACTTCAATGAGCTATAAATGCAGTGGTTGCAAAAAATGAAAATGTTGGAAAGAAGGGAAATGAGGGCACATACTTCTCAGCTTTGACTAGCATAAACACACCTGCTTCCTCCAGAAAGCCAGGATGCTTGTGCAGCCTTCGCTGCTTCACTTCACCATTAGTAGAGAGACTCTTATTTTTAGTGGCTTTTGGTCTTGATATAGCAATCCAGACTGTGAGGATGTTGTGTACTGGCCCTGCTGACCCAGCTAGGTCCAAGGTTTACCTCTGTGCACAGTGCTGCTGTTGTACTGGGCAGTCTACATAAAAGAGTGCTCCTCTCATCCATTTTTTATGAGACAAGCTAGAATAGCTATTAAAAAAATGCAACATTTTTTATTTGTATTTTCTGGAGAGCAGGCATGTTTTCTGGGAACAACCATTTGTATTCAGGAAGTAGGTCTTATTTGTGGTGTGAATCTCTACCTAATAATACCTGACACACTTAAGACATAGAAATACAGAACTGATTAAAGTCCTGTCAATCGATCTTAAACGAATTAGTACTGTGGAATCTGTGTTGGGAAGTAAAGCCATATTCCCCCTATACATTGGTAGCAGCACAGTTGAGAGCATCAAGAGAGCATCAGTGTACAGTTACAACTGATAGTGCATTTACATTTCTTCCACTAGGCATTAGGGGTGAGCACTCATAGAAACATTTATTAGCTATGTTAGGGTTTTTTTTTTTTTTTTTTTTTTTTTTTTTTTTTTTTTTTTTTTTTTGCTATAATGATAAGACTCCAAACCTTTACCAGATACATAAATTTTGCGTGGCTGTGGTTAGTAACAGACAGTATAGTCTAACTTAAAATTTTGTATTACTTTACCAAAGTGCAAAAGGAATGCACATTTGACAAGTATCATGTTTCAGGGTTTTGTGTGTGTGTGTGTGTGTGTGTGCGCGCGCGTGTTATATACATATGTGTATGCAGATGTGTGTGTGTTATATACATATGTGTATGCAGATGTGCGTGCCCATGTATGCATACAAAAGCCAGAGAAGGATGTTGAGTGTCCTGTTTTGTAGCACTCTACCTTAGTCCTTCAAGGCAGGGTCTCTCACTGAAACTGGTGTTAAAGTAAACCTCTTGTCTGGCCACTGCAGCTCTGGGGTTACAGGAATCTGTTGCCATGTCTGGCACTTTACATGGCTAATGGGGATTTGGAACTCAAAGCCTCTTGCTTACATAGCAAGCGCTCTTACCTTCTGAGCTATATCCCCACCCACATGCCTCAGTTTTTAAATTTGGTGTTTTTATGGATTGATATGCAGTGCAATGCTGGGCAGCAGGGAACCACAGTTCTAGCCTTCCACATTCTATATGTTGTTTATTAAATAAATTTTGAAGGACATCTGTGTTCATAAATGTCAGTGAATTAGTTCAGCCATGAAGCCAACAGCAATAGGTTAAAACATGTGCCCTGATGTAAACTGTCCGTGCTGAAATCAGCTATGTGCCATATGAAGCTCCAGTAACAATGTCCACTGTAGATAGCCAGCAGGGGGAGCTTTCTACTCATGGCCAGTATTTTGAGATAAGTTGGTTGTCTTTTGCTCAGAGAAAGGCTACTGTAGTGAAAGAATGCATGAGTCTAAATGCCCGTTGTTTTTTTTGTTTGTTTGTTGTTGTTGTTGGTTTGTTTGTTTTTTAATGACCTACATGGGATACTAACACTTTCTGTGTGTCCACCACAA